CGCGAACGCAGACGTATTTCCAGCTGTCGCTTGTCTCCGCCGAAAATAACGTCTGCGAACCCGAGCCGGGGAACGAGTCTGTGACGTTTCCTGGCTCGGGTTCGCATAAGTTATTTTCGGCGGAGACAAGCGACAGGCGGAAATACGTCTGCGTTCGCAGGCTACCTCAAACTTAGCCATTTTCGTATTTTCGAAATGCTCTTTCCATTTCTTGCATCCTTTAAGTTATAGCCCATTTTAGGAAACTTTTGGTCACGTTACCCCAGCTGCAAAGGGCCTATTTTACCTGAGTCACAAGCGCGAGGTTTTATCCGAGAAGTGCTAGGATTTTCGAAGAACAGCCGAACATGTCCGAAGACGTTCGGATCAATATTTTCCGCTCTGATATTTAGAACGTTCCGAAGATTTTCGAAGGCGTTTCGAACATTTCTTGCTCCCAGTTTCGACCGGCTCAAGATATATTTCGCCAAACATAATGTCTTCGAAACAGTTTTCCCTTGAAATCGATCAATTGTGAAAAAAAAAAAAAGTGTCTTGCTCTATCATTTTGCTTACGAGGGATGAAACCAAATGGAACGCAATCTAAATTCCACTGCCTGTGAAAACGATATTCAGCCTCCCCTCCTCAGTTCGTTAATCTGGGAGTAATCAACTAGGTAGCAAAACTAATCAAGGGGTGGAGGTATTAACGGCACAATGTGTGGATAAATGTACAGGAGTCATAATCGGGGATGGCTCCTGGTGGATATCAGTATCAAAAAAATTCCTTGTTTTTTCAATCTGCAGGGTAAAGCGGTGTAAAACTTGTTATCCCTCCGAGACAAAATGAGCCCGTAGGACGCACAAAAATGTCACTGAGTTAACAACTTAGTACCACAATCTGATGAAACTCGAAAACTGAACAAAATAACACGTGATATTTTAATTCGACCCTTTAGCTCGTGTCGCGGATTTGTGCAGCTAAAATACTAGCCGAAATCTGACACTGTTCTCTACCGGCTAGAAAGGCCGGTTAAAATGTAGCTAAAGTCAAAGTCAGCTGCCGTGAACATAGCTGAATATAAAAATTATGGACGCAAATGCAGGGCAATTACTTTTTTCAGAAAACCGGTAATTAACTCTTCTTTTTGAACGGAATTATCATTGATATTGATTCAGAGATTTT